GCTGCCGTCTGAGAAGTTGTTATACTTGATACGATCATATGAGTAGTATAGGAATGAGGGATTTTGTGTCATTTTTCACAGTTTTAGAAATATCAAGGATGGCGAAGGATGTCGATTTTAGAAAGAAAGTTTTATGAAGATAAAAATAATGTTCAATTTTACAATCATTCATCTCATTTTCCTACTTTTTAACACAAGTGTCTTTATTTAGAAACGATTAACACAAAAGATACAAACAAGTCAAATAGGAATAACCACAAATAAAGTGAAAACGATCAAATAGACAATAACATACATAATAGCGGGAAGTCTTCAATTAGAGTCCGTGTCAGAACCGCGAAGCGAAGTTTCCGGCCTAATTACTTCAAAAAGATTATCCAGATTTTGCTCTACGCGCATTAACGTTGCAGCTTCATCCTCGTTTGCCTCTGAACCTATAAAACAAAACTAATCATTCATAATTAAATTAATCAAAAATAATTAGTCATTAATCAAAATGGAAAATATAAAAACATTCTAAAAATATATTCAAGAAAAAACCGAGATGAGTGACGTCAGCGAGAACTGAAGCAGCGTCGATCTGCCTATTCAGTCTCAACATGATGGCGTCTTTCGAGGAACGCTAAACACAATATTTAGTTATTAAATGATTATGTATATATTAGTCGATTATTATAATTTATTGCTAACAGAATAATAAAAAGAAACCTACTTGATGAACTTCCGAATTAAGAATAGTTGGATCGCGGTGACCCCGAACTAAATACAAAATCTTTTTGATGATTCCAGGAAAAGTTTATCAAATAAAAGAATTTATCAAATAAGAACATTGTCTTTCACGTTCCGTTGGGGGATTAAGGTATAAAGTCTGGCACGCTCAAGTTACCTTAGTAACTACAATTTATAGTTATCAAGTAACTGCGGATAATAATATCTGGGTAGCGGTATAGAGCGCAACGGAAAGCCAGTGAGAACAATCCTAATAGGTTAGATAAGGTTTATTATTACGAGTGGGTTCTATAAAGTTACAATAGCACGGAGTTCAATATAAAGATATACAGCAGGATATCATATGGAATACTACAACTTGATCATACATAAGAACATAGCACTAAGGATAATACAAGATGAAGGATAACAAGAGTATATGGTAAGGTATACTCTGGAGAACTCTAGTTCGGGTCTTCAGTTGGGCCCCCTCCTAAGAGTCTCGTAAATTCCGAGCTCTGGAGGTTTATATAGGGTTGCTCTGCGTGTATACACTATGCTAGAACTCTGGCTACTCTAGAGTGTCCAAGCCATAAGATTCCGAATGGAACGTGCCCCCCCTTTGAGAAGTTTGCGTCCTCGCAAAAGGTGGCAATTGTTTAAATTTTTGAATGGCTTGTAGACTCGTACAATATAGAACAAAATTTTACTTGTT